CATCGCATGAGAAGAAATCAACAAGTAAGAATGCATTAAGAATTAGACGAGTGATTGATCAGTTTCGATTAGAACACTTGATCATGCGGAGTGTTTCGAACGATTGAATTTCAGTACAACGGCATGTATCAGTTGTTGAACCACCTGCAACGGAGGCAGCTATTCATATGCATGATAAAGACGGTGAACTATCGGATGGCTCGGAAATAATGGCATTGTCAAAGCTATCCAAGTAAGTGCCGGTGTCGCCGATTTTCCTGCAGTTTAATTCCATGATTCTGCTCAATGGGGAAGGATGCAGTTGAGTATCGAATAATTCCATTGTGAAATTTACTTGATGAATCGGAATGAATGCATTCATCATGAGCTGTTGTCAGATCAACTTTGCAACGGCGGAAAATCAGTGCAAAATTTACACGAAGCGTTTCGAAACCAGACGAGCAAGTGGATCGACTGAAAGAGGAACTTGTCGAGGAAGGCGCACGAAAAGCGACCTGGAAAGAGATTCTGCATGAAGCAAAGTCGGTTCTTATTGTAGAATTTTGAAATGAACTAGAAAGATCATTAATATTAACCAGTCGTTTTCAATTACTGTTAGTTTCATTGGAAATGCAGGATGATTTACGGCGATTTGCTTATGTTTAATGCATTTTATTTGAAGTGAATTTTTTTTTGGAGTAGAGAAATAATGAGAGTGATATTTCAGAGGCGAATACTGTTTGTTGTTAACGGCGATTCTCTTCTCGATTTTGCGTGGCCTCATGATGCCTGTGTTCTCAATTGTTTTCGGACAAATGTTCCAGGTATGCTGATCCTAAATATCCAGAAGGCAGTGGTATAGCCAGGATTTCTTCAAGGAGCAAAGGCGCAAAATAGTTTAGTCGCAGAAAGCGGCTGAATTTCAAGGCGAATTTCTTTCCATGTTTAGATATGTCTGGGCCTGAACTTATCAAATTTCTTTACTATCAACAGAATTTTCGTGTTGGAAGCATGACCGATTGCATGCTATATCTATGATTTAGTTATGTTGATACTCTAATAATCAGTTTCCTTTTTGTTAGACTTTCACGATGACCGACCAAAATGCGATGAGTAAATCTGCGTTGAAGAATTCTCTGTTCTTCGTTGGTCTCGGTATAATTCAAGGCACAGCGGCGTTCATTTGTGTTAGTTTCATAACTTTAGAGCATTTTGTTGTCCGATTCCTCAAATCTCAGTTTCCTCACTCAATACGCAGAACAATGTTGTACCTGTGAAGTATTAAAGAGGACGCTGTTCAGATCTCACTTTATGGAACCGCGGGTGAACGACTCACAATGAAATTGCGAATGTCGGTATTTCGGAGTCTGTTGCGTCAGGATCTTGCATATTTTGATGATTCCAGGCATTCTGCAGCAAAGATGACCACTCGTTTGGCCACGGATGCGCCGAATGTTAAATCTGTAAGTGGCTGCCGCTAAGCCTTGAAGA